GGGCAAGATGCTCAACCTCTCTGTGTCTCTCTTCTCATCTGTGATATGGGGTGGGAGCACCAGCATTCTGGTCTGATGCGGAAGCACAGGCGGAATCTGGCAGAGGCTGGCTGAGAACGCAAGCCCAACCTTTGCTGTCCTTTGTGGTTTTTTTCTTCAATCTTTTTTATTTTTTAATAGAAGGATAATTGTTTTACAGAATTTTGTTTTCTGCATGTCCTTCAGCCCCCACACCTTCCAGGTGTTCAGAGCTAGATGAGGAAGGGGCCGTTAAGGCACTAGGATGCCCTGATGAGGGGGTGTGAGGTCAGGGATGCTAAGGGAGGGCGACCTTCCTTCCCACCCCTGCCATTCCTGCTGAGCTGGGCAGCCCCAGAACCCGTCCACAGACAGGCAGTGCCCACAGTCGTCCCCCCTGCTGAGAACAGACCCTGGAGCTACGTTTGCAGGAAATCCCTGACCGGCCCCCATCCCACCGCCACAAGGAGGGTCCTTGAAGCTCACACCGTGGCTTCTCTATGCATGGGCCTCACACCTGTGCCCGTGCGCGTGGGCAATGCTGTCGCGACCTTGAAATTCTTAACCATGGAATAGTTCATCCTTACACTTCCCTTTCATGACTGAAGTCTGATGGGCCTGGACTGAGCTGTGAGCAGAGCAGATGTACACACAGCAAGGGTCCTGGGGTGGCCAGGCTATACGAGGGGACAAGGTGGGCACAAAGCCCTCCACCCTGGGTGAGTGAGGGTTGGGACAGCACCAGGAAGCCACGCTTGCTCAGATCCGGAACTGAGCTCCTACACAGAGTGGGGGCAATGGGGTTCTTAAGGTCGAAAACACCCTCCCCTCTGTGAATGACCTCTGTCCTGGCCTGATCCTTCCACAAGGGGTTCAGGAGGCTGAAGTCCGCCTGGCCACCAGAAGACAACAAGGGGAGAGTGGGCCATGGGGCGGGGGGTGGAGGGTGCAAACTCCAGGACTCGGGGCAACGGCCCTCAGTTCCCTCCATGTGCCAGGCTTGTGAAGCGTCTCTACATGAACCATATCAGTAATAACCATCCACGATTATTTTCCTGTTTCTGTCATGCTTTCTTAAAGGAACGTGTTTGTCTGTGGCTTGGTTTCCCTACAGGAAGGGAAGCCACGTAAACTTCCCATCTTCTGTGGCTTCAGGCCAGGGCCACGGGAGGGAGAGTTAGGGGCAGTGCAGGCAGAGGGGATTCAGCTGAAAAACGGTGGGGACCCAGAAACCTGCAGGGGCTTCTCACCTGCACCTCCCACCAGAGCTAGGCCTGGAATCCCCTGGAAACCCGAGCAGGTCAAAGCTTCTCCCTCCCCACTCCTCTCTCCTCAAAAACCTGACTCCTGGGGCCAGCCCACAACACCCCAAATCCCTCATCACCCACAGCCCCACACAGGCCCTCCCTCACAGAAGTGGGATGACCTGGATGGTGGCACAGATGGTGTGTGACCCCAGAGCTGGGGGTCTCAGCTGACCTTGAGCAAGGGGGTTGGTGCTTTACACAGCCTCCCAGCCCGGGGAGCTGCCAACAGCCACAAGCCATGATCTCAAGCGGAGCTGGGAGATGGTGAGTGGGGATGCGAGCTGTCTGAGGGCCCATCCTGTCCCCAGGACAGCAGCCAGGCCTCACCTGACACTGTCACTGCCCTGCACGGGCACACAGGACGCCAGCAGTCATGGGATGGACAGCCAGCTTCTTCCGCCACACGCTCCACCCTGACCACGGTGGCCCCACGGCTGTACCAGCCCCGCCTGCCCGCGGCTCTGCTTCGCTGCCAGGTGTTGGGGAATCTGGGTGAGTCAGTGAGGGCAGAGCTCCAGAGGCCAAGCCTGTCTTCAGCCACCAAACCTGCCCTGCTTACTGGACACATGAGCCCAGCCAGTATTTGAAGCCAAGATGCCTTTGGGAGAATGGCACCACAGATGCTGACCTCAGAGCTCAGACTCTGAAAACTTACTAAACAGGTTATTTTTAGTCTTTTATTGAAGTGGAATGTTGGCAGGAAGCGGGGAGGGGGATGACTCCCTTGGTGGTCCTGTGGTTAAGAATCCACCTGCCAATGCAGGAGACACAGGTTCATTCCCTGATCTGGGAAGACCCCACGTGCTGTGGAGCAACTAAGTCCATTCACAACTACTGCAGCCCAAGAGCATCGAGTCTCTGCTTCCCAACCAGAGCGGCCACCACAGAGAGAAGTTCAGCACAGAAACGAGAGAGCAGCCCCCACGCCCTACAACCAGAGCAAAGCCCACACAGCATCGAAGACCCAGCATAGCCAAAAATAAATAAAAAACCTTTTTTTAAGTAGGAGATCACAGCAATCTCTGCTGATCCAGAAGCTAGGACTCTGAGCTCCCAACACAGGGGGCCACGTTCAATCCCTGGTCAGGGCACTAGGTCCCACATGCTGCAACTGAAGGCCCTGCATGCCACAGCTAAGACCCTGCGCAGCCAATTAAACGAATCCTTAAAAGTAGGAGGCAGTTCATCTGCAACATTTTAGGAAATAAAAAAAAAAAAAAGATCTTATTTTGCAAGTGCTCATGGTTGATTGCAAAATTTTCTCATAATATGCAGCTGTTTAAAAAAGAAGAAATTTAGAAAGTACAGAAACTAAAACCCACCCATAAATGTGTGGGGAACACCAATTACTGCAAGATCTGACCACCACACAGGGGAACACCTGTGTGTGTTTTTCTTCTAAAAAAGCTTTCAGCCTCCACCCCTCTTCCCACCGGCCTCTGCTCTGCTCACCAAGAAGACTGCGCTTTGGCCTCATGACCGGGGCTTTCTGTTGAACTCAGGGAGGTGGAGGAGCAGGGCTGTGAGGTTGGGGGTACCATCTGGCCTGCAGTGAGGAGAGAAGCCCGAGTGCTCTGCCTCTGGGTCCAGTAACTCCAGGGGCCTCAGGGGAGCCGCCTGGGAAGAAGCCTCTCAAACACCTTCCCTGCAGTCTCCACAGTTAGAGCACACCCCACGTCTCGGGGTTTGGCTGTGGGTTAACAAGTCCTCTCTTGTTGGACAGAAAAGTGTTTCCACAGAGAATCTGCCCAGATCTTGGCCTAGTTTGGTTCTCTTATTGGACATGGAAAGTGTTTCCACAGAGAATCTGCCTGGATCTTGGCCTCGGTTGGTACAGATGTAACAGGCAGTACGTCCAGGGCTCAGGGAAGTTACTTCTGAAGCTCTCTGGGTTTAGGGCTACAGCAGCTCCTCACCTCCACCCCTTCCATGGTCATGGAGCCTTCTCTTCCAGAGGAAGGTGTTTGGCAACATCAGCCACCAAGACACACACTGAAGAGGAGATAGCCCACGGCAGGCGGGGCTGGGTGTTCCTGGGGGAGCAGAGGGGCCTTGGACACTGCATGCTGGATCCCTGCCCCACCGGCTTCTCCTCCTTCTCGCTGGGCATGCAGCTTTCACCTCCGGGGTGCCCGCCAGTGAGGGGCTCCCAAGGCACCAAGCTGTGGTTGGCGATGGGGGAGCTGGATGCCAGGGAACCCAAGACCCTGCAGCAGGTCAGTGCACTGTGGACGAGGGCTGGCCTCACTGAACGGTTAGGCCCTGTGCATTCAGGACACCCTCTATGGACCCCAGGTGGAGGTGCTACTGCCCCCAGTGCCCACCTAGGTCTCCGGAGGTGGAAGAGAGACCGGGTCGTCCTTCCCTCCTCCTGCCCAGAGAATGACAAAGGCCAGTTCCCAAAAGTGGGAGCAGGGTGGGCAGAGTGAGTCTCGGGTCTCACAGGGTCCCTGTGAAGAGGGGTTCGCTGCTGCCTGGATCCCTCTTGGCTGGTTCCCCTTCTGTGTTGTCTTCACACCAAATCTCACAAGGACGAGGCAGTCCAGGTGCCCACAACTTCACTCGCCCAGGTGCTGACAACCCTCCTTATTTATTATGGGCAGGGAGAAAGGGTGGCTGGTGTGACGCTCCCCTGGGCCAGAGAAGAGAGCCCCCAGGCTGTGTCTCTTCTACTCCTGACACCCAGGTGGCCGCTGGGGGCAAAGCACCTCCACCTGGTGTCTGGAGAGGGTGGCCTGAATGGACAAAGTCTAACTGTTCAGTGTGGCTTCAGGGGGTACGGGCAAGAGGGGTACTAAATCCTTTCTAAATATTTCAGACAACCACTGAGTTCCTTTTGGTTTTTGGTTTCAGATCTTTTAATATGGTCCATTTTCAGAGTCTTTATTGAATCTCTTACAATATTGCTTCCATTTTATGTTTTGATTTCTTGACTGCAAGGCATGTGGGATTGTTACCAAGTCCAAGCTCACTCTGAACGCCTCACAACAGGCTGATTAATCAGAGCCGCGGTGCTGAGACAAGGAATATGACTTTACTTGAAAAGCCAGCAGATTGAGAAGATAGCAGACTAATATCTCGAAGAAACCATCTTGTCAGGGTCTGGATGCCAGTGTCTTTCATAGAACACTGAGCTGGGAGGTGAGGAAATACAGTAAAAAGGCCATTAATCTGGCAAATATCTGGAATGGCCAGTCTCGGGAGGAGATGTGTTACTTTCTCCCTCCTGTAGCCATCCACACGTGGACAGGTCCTGGACAGAGGCAGAGGGGCGGGGTTTCCTGAGGCAGGCCATTATGTATGGACAGCATCCCTGCAGCAAACAGACAAACAGGAAGCAAAGGTTAAAGTAAAACTTTCAACACGGAGTCAGATTTTCTTCTTCCCTGTAACAATTCCCCAGTGTCAGCGTCCATTCCACAATCTTATGGAAAAAAGGGTGATGAGTGTTCTAAGTGCTCTACTAGTTGCACCTTTTGGGGAGTGTCCACCACTGGTGCCAGTGTGCTGAATGTTCAGATTTGTCTTTTGTTATTCTTTGGAAAGTCTCTACTTCATATGTATAGAGATAATAATATTATAATACAGGTGTTGAGACTTATTTTATTCAGTACAAATCTTTTAGGACTTCAAAACCAGGGGGTATCATCTAAAGTTAAGGAATTTAGCACTTTTCTATGTGTGGGAAGATGCACCAGCCATCTCACTGAAATCAACCCCTTTGATACACACCTTACCACCTGGGACCAGCATCCTGTCTTCTCCTTCCTGAGTTTCCTCAGGGATCACAGTGGGGAGTGGCTGCAGTCTGATTGAGCTGGAAAGCAGGTATTCTTTTCTTTCCCGAGTTTCCTCAGAGCTCACCATGACACGTGGCTTCAGTTTAATAGCTTCTAGAGAGTAGGAGGGGAACCTGGGTTTCCATTGAGATCATCTCAGCAGAGAGAGTAAGCATGTCCTGTGACTCCAGACAATCTTCCAACGTTCAGGGCTCAGCGTTCAGCTTGCAGGATCCACATTCGTCAGTTCAGCCACCATGCTCTGCACTTTGTTGGTATCTAGCCCTGACACCTACACTGCAGGAGGCCCTCTAAATGTGGCGTCCTGTCCATCAAACTCTGTCACACCCTCCAAGCCTGACCCAGGCCCAGCTCTGCTGAGAGGGTCTCACTGGGGACCACGGGTCCCCCTCCTGCTCTCCCACATTCCATACCTGATTGGGGACAAGGCAGGGGCTGGGGGCACAGTGCCTCCAAGCAGGTAGGGTCGACGTTCTCCCATCACCCCTTGTGGTCCATCCCTGGGAGCACAGTCTACTGTCACTTTTAGCAGCAGAGGACATGTTTCCCCAGATCCAGCCCACTCTCTAGGGGGTGTGAGCTGTGAGCACTAACACAGGAAACCCTCAGTGACCTGCTTAGGCTGGAAGACTAGCTCCTGGGATGCGAGCTGAAGTCTGAACGTAGCTTCCCATTGGGATTAGCCTTCTCCAGACCTAGCTTGGGGGCAGCAAGAGTGCAATAAGTGGCCCCCAGCTGGGGCAGCCACACAGTGCCTCTCGACAGCCCTGTGGAAACTGGGCACCAGAGTGACCAGGAGCCCACATTCACCCAGCAGATGGCTTGTGAGAGGTCTCTGACAGACTAAAGCAACCATGAGCCTGTACTCACAGCAGACAGCTCTGACAGGTCTGTGACAGACCAGAGTGACCACAAGCATGCATTCATTGAGTGGACAGCCTCTGATAGGTCGGTGGCAGACCAGGGTGACCCTGAGCCTGCACTCATCCAGCGCATGGCCTCTGATAGATCTGTGAAAGGCCAGAGTGACCACGAGCCTGCACTCACCCAGCGGATGGCCTCTGAGAGGTCTGCGACAGGCCATAGTGACTATGAGCCTGCACGCACCCAGTGGATGGTCTCTGAGAGGTCTGTAACAGACCAGAGTGACCACGAGCCTGCACTAACCCAGTGGCTGGCCTCTGAGAGGTCTGTGGCAGATCAGAGTGACCATGAGCCTGCACTCACCCAGCGGATGTACTGTTAGAGGTCTGTGACAGGTCAGAGTGACCACAAGCATGCATTCACCCAGTGGATGGCCTCTGAGAGGTCTGTGATGGACCATAGTGATTATGAGCCTGCACTCACCCAGCGGTGAATTCTTGCCTGGAGAATCCCATGGATAGAAGAGCCTGGTGGGCTACAGTCCATGGGGTCACAAAGAGTTAGACACAACTGAACACAACTGACACCTGAGCACACACACATGAAACAGTAATGGCCTCAGGAACAGAGGGAACAGACTGTTGCTCTCCAAGGAAGAGGGGACGGTGGAGGGATGGAGTGGACGGCTGGGGTCAGCAGATACAGCTTTTATAAGTAGAATGGATAAACAAGGCCCTGCTGCATAACAGAGAACCGTATTCAGTGTCCAATGATAAACTATAAAAGAATATTTTAAAAAGAATATATATATATATGTGTAAGTGTATCCCTGACCTTTGCAGCAGAAATTAACACATTGTAAACCAACTATACTTCAAAAAAAAAAAAAAAAATTAAAAAAAAAAAACAAAAAACCTAGACCCTAGTGAATTACAACGGACACTCAACCCAGGAGCACCAAGTCCCGAGCAGTCAGAACATGGACCAACCAGGCAGAAGAGGGGCGCACAGGAGACGGGGACCCGCAAATCCCACAGGCCGGCTGTGAGCCCTGGGCACTGTAAGCCACACGTGTCGCTGGAGGAAATGAGAACTCTACCCACACGACTCCCCCTCCAGCTCAAAACAAAGTGGCTCTGCTTCCCCTGACCCCTTAACTGAAGGGCCCTGGGACGCCCTGGCTTGGTGCTGGAACCAGGAATGTACTGTTCAGACCCCAATGCAGGGGAGGTCTGTGAGGGCAGCTCTGGAGCGGGTGGGCCAGGATGAACCCAGCAGCTCAGCCCGTTTCTCGAAGGTCGGACAAAACAGAGCCCAGGAGGCCGGAAAGTGTCCTAATGGAGGGCAGGCCCCACGTCGGTGCCTCCGCTCTCTGGCTGAGGCCCAGCGCTGACCCCCTGTGCCGGTCTGCAGCGCGTTCTTCACACGCCCTGACGGCTCAGCTGCTGAGCCCCAAGTTGAAGGCTTGCGATGGCGGACATGCGCACAGGTACCAGCAGCACTGACCATCTCGCTCCCGGCCCAACAGCGAGTTCCAGCTGAGACCAGTGGGCACGTTGTCAGCTGTGCTCCAGGGTGGGCCCCGTGTCACCAGTAAATGGCAGTGTCACGATGCAGGCCAGCAGGACTCAGCCTGGCGGATTGCTAGAGTCAGCGGGGACACACCGACCCATGAACACTCCCGGCCCTGAGTCAGGCAGAGACCCGAACAGGCAGACAACTGCAGAGAGCAGAGTCCACGGCACAGACAAGGAGCAGCCGTCCCCGGGCAGGGAAGGGGCCCCATCTCAGGGGGCGCCCTTGGGATCCCCCAGCTTAAGCATAAAGAGGCTTCAGGCACAGGTGGTAGGAACAGACTTGGAGCTGCTTTTAAGTCATGCAGGGCAGGACACGCAGGTGAGGGAAGGCCAGAGGGAATGTGCCGCAAAAATAGAGTGTCTGGGGAACAGATGGGCTTGGGTGGAGCTGAGACCAAGGGGGCTGGGAGTCCGGGTTTAGAAACCCTGTATGCCTCTCTCCCGTCTCGGCCTCCCACTCTCTACTTAACTCCCACTCTGCATCCTGATGCCACCTGTCCTGCTCATCCCCACACTCGGACCGTCCACTCATTCTCAGATATTTGCTTAGCACCTGCCTCTGGACAGGTCGTGTTCCAGGCACGGGACAGCCGTGAGGAGACAGACAATAACCCCAGTCCTTGGGGAGCAGAAACTCTACCAGAGGCCAGATGCACCGCTCCTTTGACCGAGCCCCGGCCTTGCCCTCCTCAGCCACCGGCCGGCCTGCTGGAGCTCTGGCCCCAGAGGCAGTTCCGTCTGAGCATACCCCTCCCCCAAGAAGGCGCCTCTCTGGATGCACCGCCCGTCAGCCCCTGCCTCTCCGTGTCCTGTGTCCTTCTCAGCACAGACCACCATCTGAAACGGCCTCCCCGCCACCTGCGTGACCTCAGGGTACCTGGCGATGTCATGCCCTCGGTGAAGGAACATCCCAGCTGCCCTCACGCCCTTTCTGCTGAGTTCCCACCACAGATTCCCATCATGGCGGCCTGGAAGGACTCTCCAGAAGGGTGTGGAGCAGGGGCTCGGTGGGGCCCGAGAGGGTGGGGCCCCTGGGCTGCTCCAGTGGTCAGGCTAGACGGAGACCTTCCAGTAGTGGGTCGGACCAGCCGGCAGGCCGATCAGCTTCCTTCTCCCTGGGACCACGAGGGGGCGATGCTCTCATTGCTGCTCAGGGTTGTGGCTGCCCTTGAAGGGCGGTCAGTTCTACAGTCCTGAGCACCCTGTGAGCTGTTACACATTTTACCTGTGTGATCTCAACTCCCTCAGGCAGAACGCTCTGGGCTACACACTTGGAAGAATCTACTGCAGTGTTTTCAGTTCAACTGAGTCTCTCAGTCGTGTCCGACTCTTCGCGATCCCATGGACTGCAGCACACCAGGCCTCCCTGTCCATCACCAACTCCTGGAGTTTACTCAAACCCATGTCCATTGAGTCGGTGATGCCATCCAACCATCTCATCCTCTGTCATCCCCTTCTCCTCCTGCCTTCAATCCTTCCCAGCATCACGGTCTTTTCCAGTGAGTCAGTTCTTCACATCAGGTGACCAAAGTATGGGAGTTTCAGCTTCAACATCAGTCCATCCAATGAACATTCAGGACTGATTATGTTTAGGATGGACTGGTTGGAACTCCTTGCAGTCCAAGGGACTCTCAAGAGTCTCCTCCAACACCACGGTTCAAAAGCACCAATTCTTCGGTACTCAGCTTTCATTATAGTCCAACTCTCACAATCATGCAGGATTACTGGAAAAACAATACCCTTGACTAGATGGATCTTTGTTGGCAAAGTAATGTCTCTGCTTTTTAATATGCTGTCTAGGTTGGCCATAACTTTTCTTAAAAGCAGTAAGCGTCATTTTATGTCATGGCTGCAATCACCATCTGTGGTGATTTTGGAGCACAAGAAAATAAAGTCAGCCACTGTTTCCACTGTTTCTCCATCTGTTTACCATGAAGTGATGGGGCCAGATGCCATGATCTTAGTTTTCTGAATGTTGCTGCTGCTGCTGCTAAGTCACTTCAGTCGTGTCCGACTCTCTGCAAGCCTGTAGATGGATGCCCACCAGACTTCCCCATCCCTGGGATTCTCCAGGCAAGAACACTGGAGTGGGTTGCCATTTCCTTCCCCAGTGAATGAAAGTGAAAACTGAAAGTGAAGTCACCCAGTCATGTCTGACTCTTCGCGACCCCATGGACTGCAGCCTACCAGGCTCCTCCGGCCATGGGATTTTCCAGGCAAGAGTACTGGAGTGAGGTTCCATTGCCTTCTCCTCAAAATATTGGGCTTTAAAGCAAACTTTTGCACTCTCTTCTTTCAGTTTCATCAAGAGGCTCTTTAGTTCTTCTTCACTTTCTGCCATAAGGGTGGTGTCATCCGCATTTCTGAGGTCATTGATATTGTTCCCAGCAATCTCAATTCCAGCTTGTGCTTCCTCCAGCCCAGGGTTTCTCATGATGTACTCTGCATACAAGTTAAATAAGCAGGCTGACAATATACAGCCTTGACATGTTCCTTTCGAATTTGGAACCAGTCTGTTGTTCCATGTGCAGTTCTAACAGTTGCTTCCTGACCTGCATACAGGTTTCTCAAGAGGCAAGTCAGGTGGTCTGGCATTCCCATCTCTTTCAGAAATTTCCACAATTTATTGTGATCCACTGTCAAAGGCTTTGG